CCTACCATGATTTGTGGAATGGAATTTGAATGCGGATCTATCATATCGTACCAGTATTGATGAAATCCGAACTTTTCATCTTCTGTGATATCCACAACTATCAAACCAATTAATCTGTCATCAATCGCATCGCGGACCACTTGCCACAACTTGAACACTACGTTCTACAATTTAATATTTTAAATTGCCACAAACTCAATATCTTTCAAAATCATATTCAAATATTGCAGAAGCGTAAATGGCAAAGGGTCGTGCTTGTCAATGCTGGTCAGCGACCATTAGATGCCTTCTGTTTGCGTGTTGCTGACATCAAATGCAAGTTCACGATCGATGCTAGTGATCGAAAGGAAAAATAGCGCTTGTTCAAATTTACAACTCTAGTATAGCTGCTTCTCTTCTTCGCAAAATAAAAAAATTGTTCTCCCATTCTACAGTGATAATCTTCGGAATCTTTGATTTTCCTCTTTCCTTTATGTACCTTGAGGAAATCTTCGATTCTAACATTAACATTCTTCTATTTCTTGAAGCTTCTTTATGTTCTATCTTTCATTCTTCAAGAGTGTCCCCTGTTTCTCTCATACAAACTGAGCCATGTAAAAACGGGAACTTTACCCACCTAGCTTGCTTTCACTAATTCCCTCTCTGGATGTTCAGATGGTTCAGGCGATTGCATGGCGTCATTACAATAATCTGAAACATAAGCTATGCGAATGTAACATGTATAGGCATGTTGTTCGTGCAAGCATGTTGTTATTCTGATCCGCATCATCTTGTGACAATTCTAAAGATAAATCCACTTTCTGAACAAAGAAAGCATGCAACATATTCAGAAACTATTTCACTATTACTTCGCATCACCATAACTAATTAACGTTTATTGATCACTTACCTTTTGCTTGAGGGACATTGGAAAGTCAACATCCCAGTTAAAGACCGGTTCTGGAGAGTTGTGCACAACGGGAGATGCTAAGATTTGATCATTTCTTCGGCACGTCAAATACGTAGTCGGCAACAAATCACGCTGGCTAATATAATACAAAGTGACACAATTTAAAAAGATAAACACAGTACAGATGCTAAATTCATACAAATAAACCGAAAAATTTGCATATTCAGAAAACTGCCGCCTCAACAGACATCTCAGCTATGAAAATTTAAAACGTTTTCATCATCATGATTATATAGCCCAAAAAACTATATTTCTTAATCCGCTTGTCTTTCGCAGTCAGACGATAAATCGTACAAGGAGTATCATGCTCGATCGAAGAATAAACGACGAAACGCTCCTGTCTCTCCCCCAAATCTTATCGAACATCAACTTTTATATGCAACGCACTATATGGACAATTCATTCAACGGAAAGCAAACAGGTAAACCTCTATAAATATTACAAAGCAGGTATGAACGACCATTTGGACTCAATCACCCTGGAACTGACAGCTAATTCCTATGGCAATGATGATCTGGGCGAGAATCTTCTCTAAAGCTAGCAAACAATAACTTAATTCACAGAAAACAATTCAAAAGTTAACAATAAACTGAAGTGAAAAGAATGATTGCACGACCTTGTTCTGATGGCTTACTGACCTAACGGTTACCTGCACAAATGAGAAATAATTATCTTAGCCTAGTCTGCATAAGTAACTAAAGATGCATGATGTCACTTTGTCTCAGGAGACATGCTGAAGAACAAAATTAGTCAAGGAAATGCGAGTATCATTACCAACCTGAGAAGATCATGGGGAAGCACCCGCGACATAAATCGAGCTCCATATACCGAAATCCGCACGATCGCTTCATCGGATTTTCCAGTGACGGCCGTAGTTTCGTCGCTTCGACTTAGTTGCGCCTTTAGCAAACGTTGGGCAACCGACATCGTCTTAACATTCTTCTTCTGATCCGCTGCAATGTTTATCTGTATGTTTTCTGTGGCCCTATTCGACTCGGCCGCAGGCCAATTGTCCTTTTCGCCAACATAAGGCGTAGATGTTGCGCTACGACCCAGTGGCATCACTTCAGTAATTTTTCCATTCCCAGCTTTTGAAGAGGACTGATCAGAATCTTCGGTGGTTTCCTCACATGTCATAAAATCGAACGTATCATTGCCCGGTTTATTGATGGTATGATTATTACGGCCTATGTAACGACTGAGTCTTTGCTCTGTCCTCAAACAAGGCACAAAAAGTGGTTTTCGGGGGTTGGAAGGCTCATGATGCTCGGCGTATGGCATGATGTTATGAAATCCAGAGGGCTGCGAAATACGCTGCTGTTGTCGTTCTTTTCGTGGACGAGAGTTCGACGGTGCTGCGGGGGTAGCTCGCAAGTCTGCAGCCAAAGGATCAACTATACTGAACGGACTGGTCATGTTAGAAGGGTTTCGAAATGCTTCGACTCGTTGAGTGAACGAGGCAAACCTGGAACCCAACTGCATGCAAACCTATAGTACAAAGCAAAATAAACATACAGTCGTTCATAAAAAATTTTTGGATACTGACCGCGGAGTTATCTATGTCTTAAAGCATTGTACGATCATGACTTGTGACTTACATTCTGCAATAAGAATTTTAATAGCAAATTGAGACTTAGAAATGAGGAACAGGAACCGCTCAGGTAACAGTCCTTTAGCTTTTATGTCACTTACAATTGCCTTACGCATAGGTTTCTAAAAATAACAACATGCCCGGAAAATCTAAAACAAACTTTTAATATCACTGAACATTCAATAATTCAGATAGGCTTAAAGCTGATGGAATGATCCCGTTGAAGTGATAGCATGTGTAAGTTTAACATGCAAATTTAAACAGCAAAATGATTAACTAATCGACCTGTCAGCTGAATGGTGTCAAGGGGTCTTTCCGCCAATCGGTCAGCATGACACGACATGCCTAAGACCTGTCGCAGTCACTAATCACTTATCCTTGTCTTATTACTACGAAATTAAATGAACTTAGCTTCATAGCACTATATTCAGTTCATGAATTAGCGCGTAACGTAAGATCACGAAAAGAAGCGACCACCAACCTGCAAACTTCCAGAAAAAGTAGCTGTTTCATGTATGTTGTAAAGCGGCAGATTTGCCTCGACCGAAAAAGGCATCACAAGTAACTTATAGAGCGGCATGCTGCATTTTGCAATAAGTGTTTCCTGAAAACAAGAACAAAATAAACAACATAATTGGCTTTAATCAACTTACAGGTTTCTCTGGTTGTTGATAAAGCACGTCGAAGACTAGTACGCTTTCGGACCAGGTAACTAACAACTTCGGTTTCATGTTAATCAGGATCACTGTACGATGATTGAAATAAACGCCTATTTGACAAACATACTAGATGTATCATACTTAAAAATTTTTAGTACCTGAAGGTAGAAATTCTTTGGACAAAACTCGAATAATTTTTCGAAAATTTCGGTATGAGCCTTGATTACAATCAGGCAGCGAAAACTTCAAACACATATGCCTGTATAAATTGTTTTTAACAATCAACACAGAAATATACAAAAATATAAACAAAACTTAAGTTTTTAAAGGAATACTGATGACATAAACGTATCACATAAAATGCCTTCTTTAAATGCTCTTTACAAACCATTCTCTCGTTCGTTTCGCAAGGAGAATAAGACGGTTAAAATAAGGGAAAGCTCGGAAAGGTCAAGTACGGTAGTCGTTAAGGCCTGTCGTGAACCCGAAACGGTCGGTCAACTATGCTCCGGTGGATCATTATATAATCTTGACTGGTGGTCATAACCATCCAGTGGTAGAGAAGCGGCCGCCAAGAGAGCTCTCCTCCATGGAAGCCATTAGCGGCTCTTGATTCATAAGCAGTCACCTGCTGACATTGGAGTGTAACGCGGCTGTTCTACCAAACTCTATGTCTCTTTTGCTCCAAGGCAACAGAATATAAAACAACAACCAGCCAGCACAAATATAAACTCAAACTACTGCACCAGGGCAGCAGCCCCTGGCTCGTCAACGCGGTGGCCTGAGAAAATTCCTCTGATTGTCCAAAGGTCCACGCCGACTGTGTGCATATGATGATTAAGACTACAAATGCTGCATCGCGATTTGCATAAAAGACAAATAAGCGGAGTCTACTGAAGCCACGTCGTCTTTACAGCCATTAAAAACAGCAAAGAATATCCTCATGTCTATACAAATGAACAGATATAAAACAAAATTGGCCCATTGTCAAAAGAACCGCCACTTACCGTTGCAACGAACATAAAACACCGCAAATCTATAGCCACTGAGATATCGATCAATCATCTTACTTTAACAAAGAGCCCGATCTGTGAATCATGTGAAACGATGTTCATCTGTCTTATGATCAATGTGTGTGGCTGTCTGTGTGCAGTGTTCTGTTACCTTCCCACGAAATGAAGCTACTTTATCATCTAGAAGGACGAAAGATCAGAGACTCCTCGTCACTCGAATCAAAAATCTTTTCAGTGCGACATCACGGTAGACACTCTACAGTTTGAACTACTTTGAATTTGCTGATGCAATGTATGAAATTGTTGCGAAAAGATTGTTTGAAGGTTCATTGGATTTGAAAAGCGACGGGAAAGTATGTCTATACGTACATATCACCGAATTATGTACGCACAAATAAACCTGCGTAAAAAATATATACAACAGTGAAGAAGGAAGAGGAAGGCACTTCTAGAAAACAAACCAATCAGTTGTTTTCGTACTTCTCAACGTCTTATGTCGTATGTACGAGATCATTGAATTCTTCTTCATCGTACTTGAATAATCCTCAATAATGGTTAAATCTTGATACTGCGAAGCATTAATTCTTGTTCATTTTAAGTAATAATTTAAAGGTACCTACCGACTCAATGGAATACCAGAGCTCAGTGTCCATATGAAAACAATACACCCATTAAACTAATGGTTCAACCTCGTGTATATATCGAAATATGAATGACAAGACCCAAGAAGAACGACTAATAACTTGACAAGAAATCAGAGAATTTTGGGGACATTGACTCGTAAAACAGGCCCGCTATTCACTACGTCGAGCCGAAGACAGCATCTCTGGCCTAGTGACATTACACTCTAAAATTATAACCATGGCAATATCCGGAACACGATGGCTGTGGTTGCGTGCATGGTATACTTTTCTTCCTTCACACAGTTGTGCTCATTTGTGTAACTTTTATGAATGCAAAGCGAATGATATCGCTGGAAATGAAATTCGCATTTCAGCGAGTTGCAGTCCGGCATGATAACCCCTGCAATACAACACGCAGATAGAAACACAAAGACAGCTCTTATAAAAATTTTTTAAATCAACAAACATCCAAACTGTACCCCCTTTTAACGGGATTACGTCGTTGAGTCTCTTTCACCGCAAACCTCGGCGATCGTTCCCACGTTAATTTATTGATGACAATTCGAACGAACGTGACATCGTTCAGAAGACTCCATGTCTCTTCTACAAGCTCTTCCTTTTTATCTGCAAACATGGCACGTGGATATAACTACTTCAAGTATCAGCTGCTTAAATTTACCGGCGTCAGGGCATTTGATCAACGCAGCAATGCATTCGGTTGGAGCAACGTCGCCTTCCTCATCGTTTGACGAAGAGAGAGTGTTGGGGCTTGGCGAATTCATGTATATGCAAGTAGTAGTACGAGGTCTCGCTCCTTAACAGTTCAGTTTTTAAACGCTTCAGTGGCGACCGTCGTCGCTATTAACAACTTTGAACCAAACAAGAATCACTGAGAAAGTTTAAACTAATGAAGAAAGTTTCAAGTAATGAAAGGCGCACAACATGACTGAAATCATCACTAAAATCATAGATTTAAAGCATGAACATATGCTGATAATACTCTTGTTATATTCAGGGGTGAATCCCTTAACTGCCATTACAGGCAATGACAAATTTACAATATAATCTGACTGGTAGACAACCGAAAGAATATTCTATCTAAAATGTTTGGATCTCATTCAGGACAAAGTCCGGTCTTTCTATTTATCAGCGATAAGTGACACCGGTTCATGGCTTTCGTGGAACAGTAGCACAGAACCAAGAAGGATTAGTCGTTGTCGACACATCATCGTTGTCATAAATTTATCAGAAGTAGGCAGGTCACAATTCATGTCCAAACAGGGTTTAAAGCGGAATAAGTACGAATGTATTACCTGTTTCTTTGTTAAGAAGGCTGACAATATTTTGTATGAATCAGCTTCGTTCGGGCGCGATGTACCGTACGATGACACACAAAGACTTCTAGCCTGTATTTTCGAGCTTCTTCTCCAAACATGAACTTTAAAATAAAGATATCCGACTTCGGAATTCTTTATCAGTTTCTGACGGCAATGTTGATCAGGTGCCGTTTATTCTGTCTTATTTGCCCTGTAACAGATTGTCTACAAAAACTGTAGAGTATTCAAAATTAGCTTTCCACTCTGTTTTTCATTCGACACGAATAAATAATATATGGTTTATTTATAAGGTCACATTTTATGAGTCAGAAATTTAAACAAGAAAATTGCAAATCGCGGTTCCAAGTTTGAATAATTCGTACTATATACTTTAATAGACTAAAATTCGTTGTCTAGCATAATAAAAACAAAGAAAGAATATAAAAAATTCCCAAAAAAACAGTATCGAATACATTTAAAAGGATTAGCAAACAGGAAGCAAAAAACAAAAACTACAC